AGCCTCCCTGGAAATTAAGTGCATAATGGACCAGAAGTAAAACTACACTGTGTGTCAATGGAGCAGTTTTTTTTTTCATTTTTAGCAAGACAACTGAGATATTTACAGGAAATACAATTATCAATATTATATTATTATCAACACGATTTCTAAAAAACACAGTTAATCAGCCCATATGATTTACTGCTAGAGAATGACTTACACAGTCTTTCAAAACTAAGAAAATGCTTTGGATCACTCAGTTTTAAGTATTTCAGTAAGTATGCACATAACTGGAGTTCATAATGTGACCCTGGGTGCTATGTTTAAACATTTTTAAACTTACTGCAAGGGCAGTGCAACACAATTTAAAATTGAAAAATGTCAAAAAATAGGTGCATGTTCATGGTTCATGTAGTGACTTTCTGGTTTTCAGTGATGTTTAACTCCATAACAAGAAAAATAAAAGTTCCAAGAAGTTTTTTTGGTGATGTTGCTCTATTATAAAGTTCATTTTTTTTGTAATTTTTCTCTCAGGAAAATATGCCCTGTTTTTTAAAGTTTTTTGAATAACATTAGAATATTTTGCAAAGGGTAGACAGGAAGATACATAGTAAAGGATAATCTCCCTTACCCAACAGCCACATATACAAAACCTCAGCTATTGGGTAGTTAGTTTGCTAAGCAAAATTCCAAGATAAATGGCAATAAGTTCCAAGGTCTGTAACAGAAAACTTTATACTTAAATACTGCACATGAGTGCCAAGCTGATCGAGCATAAGAAGATTGTAATAACTGAAAACAATATAACCCATGCATTAGAACATTCTCAATTTAACTTAAAAATCTGAATTTCATGTTCAAATTTTTCCAATGAAGAAGTAGAAGGGTGAAGGAACTGATTAGCTATTTCAAAGAATAAATTTGCAATGATATACTTCTAAATCATGTAAATAAATGGGGATAAAATGAAGTGATTCTTACTGAGTTTCTTACAAAATAAGTTTTATTTTCTTTGGACCTAGTTACTAGACCACAGTATAAGGAAATAATACTTTGTGTGTAGTAAGAATGGTGTATATCTGACAAATAGTCAAGGGACATAGGAATACAAACTTTTATGCTACCAAGTTCTTGTGTAGGTCTTTAAAGACTCTTCTTATACTTGTCCTTTTATTTAAATTATTATTTTCAAGTCTCTTCATGTAAAATGTTCAAGACACACTTTATATCCTTATGCCTATGTCCCTTGCAACTGATCACTGTTTCAAAACTAAATAATAAAAAGAAAACTGTTCTCTTCACCCATTAATGCATCCACAAGTAAAAATGAAATGACTTTAGATTAAGAAATATCATGATTTACAAAGTCAGAGCAAAGAAATCTGAAGTCTGTATCAGTAGTTCTCAGATTTTAGCAATCATCAGAATCATCCCTGAGGTAATGAACACAGATTGCTTGCACCCACACTCTAAATTTCTTATTTAGAAAGTCTGGGAGGGGTCCAGGATTCCTCATTTCTAACAAGTTTACAGGTGACATTGATGCTGACAGAGAATAATGGTTTCCACTCTGAAAATCCAACTTCTGCCATGTGAAAGCCATATTTGAAAAGTAATACATAGCCATGTATTTTTTTCACTGACTTAATAGCAATGGCATTTATAATGATCAAAAATGCTGATTAATTTTCACACAGTCAACTCTATTTCTAGCTAAGTGACTAATAATCACATCAATATTAAAAAAACAAAACAAAAAGACCATCACCTTCATCACAAATGATCAGTACAGGAGCAGAACTCCCTCTACCTTTTTGTCGGGAAATGTGGTCACAAGATAATTTTAATGCAATCGTTTCCTACTTGTCTCCACTCCGAGATCTTACCCTTCTCCACTGCCAATAAGACATGCCAGGACAAGTAATCGGAGACAAAAAGTGGCAGGAAAATGGAACCTTGCCTTTCTGATTCACACAGTTCCAAGTCACACACATCCATCTTTCTCACTTCTTATTAGCCCCTTTACACATACATACACATACTTTTTAAATTCTTTTTAGTTGCAATAACCTGAACTAATGAGGCAAATAAAATGGATATTGGGTAAGAAGTCAGACTCTCCCATATGAAGAAACAGCTCCTCGAGAGGGCTCTATCTTCAGCATTTCTCATTCCTAGAATCCTGACCATTCTCAGCTGCTTGGGGACACCAGATATCAGCAGAATTCCAGAGAATACTAAATTAATTACCGGCTCCTGGAGGCCTCACCCTCTGCAAGATGCCAAGCATAAGACATGCCAGGAGTCTCAGTCTCTGATATCATCACCACCATCATCATCACATCACCATCACCTTCACCACCACCACCACCATCAAGCAAGCTCTCTCTCATCTGGGGAAAGGAGATATTAAGATGTTAGAGGTGGGAGAAAGTGAAAATGTCTTTGCCTGCCATGAAGAATACTTGGAAGACAGGAAAGGGAGGGGCAGAAGGAGCCCAAAGCTCACTGCTCAGAAGAGCATCCTGCAAGCCCCCACCTACTCAGCCTAGACCAGAGCACAGTGGAGAAAGTAAAGGCTGGGTCAGATCTCCTGCCACCATCCCAAACACCCCTCCACAGCTCACTCCACATTCCCAGAGAGTTTGAGGGCTCAAGATCCCCACAGTAGCTGAGCCCATTTCACACTCAATTTTAGGCTCTTCAGGGAAAGCTCCCATCGGGCCATACTCAGGGGAAAGCCATTGACAGAACACTGCAGCATAAGGGTCTGAGCTCCCGAGTGAGACCACAGGCAGTGGGCTGAATTTCCAAACATATTCTCTGAATGTTGGCCCCAGGAGCTGTGAGCCAATCTTGACCTGCTGTCCCTCAGTTGCCATTCCTTAACCCCTTCCAATACCTCCAGAACACAAGTTATTTTCCCGTTGTGGCACCGCCTGCTTGTCCAGGAGAAGATGCACATTTCAGCCAGCGTGTGTGTCTCTCAGTCCGAAAGCCAAGGGTGCCAACTGCTGACAGGCAAAGGAACCTGGATTTGCTCCTGAGGACTTAAAAACCTCCGAATTAACAAGCTCGCTCTTCCCTCGGTCCTAACCCGCCAAACCTGGGTTTTCCAGAGAACTGAAATTGTGTTCCTGTTGCAGGGAGCTGGTGTCCTGCCCCGGGAGCTGAGACGCACGGACTTGGTGGTCCGTTCATTCATGCATTTACTCATCCATTCACATAAACATGTCCCTTAATTGTATCTGGCACCGCGAGAATCTTGCCTGCTATTTTCCCCTC